GCGCAGGGGGGGAAGACCCTCTATGAGGTGGATTGATTCAGTGACTGGGGTACTCGGGATGGGTCTGTCAGAGGCAATGAGATTGGCACAGGATAGAGCACAGTTTAGGGCTGTTGTACATGGGGTCGCTATGAGTCGCAAACGACTCGACGGCACATAACAACAACAACAACATCGTTTTTACAAGGAACATGCTGATGTCATTTACAGAAAAAATGAGAAATCAGGAGAAGCATTTGAAGTTTTCACAAAGGAATAAAAAATGGCTTGCTTTTGGACATTTTGCATTTGAAGTACCATAGAACCTTCCGGTAAAGCTGTTCACAAGCAGTTGAGCATTTAGACCTGCAGGTCAGGGTGAAGGGAGGAAAGCAGAAAGTTAGATTTGGCCATTGCTTGGAGGTGGGTTGATAGGGCTGTGGAGACAAGTCAGACCTTCAAGGACTGGGTACTGGCCAGAGAATGAGCAGATGGGGGTTATCCAGTCAGCTGTTGGAGTGAATATCCACACTTGGGGTGGTGGGAAGGTTGCAGAAATTGGGCAGAAAGTAGAAAGCCAGCAGCCGGAGGGCTGGGATGGCACTGGTGTGGATACCACCAGAGGAGCCATATGGGCAGGAGATGTGGAAAAGACTCTAAACTTGTTGAGTCTCAGATTTCTGAGCCACACAAGTATTATCAAAATTTAGGGGTTAATGGATTTAATCTTTAATTCTGTAGTGACTTTATTTCATTTATTTATTGTTGTTGTGTGCCATCACGTCAGCTTTTACTGGCACAGAAGACTGCCCCTCCTTCTCCAGTGGAGCATCTGGTGGATTTGAACTGTGCGACTTTGGGATTGCAGCGCAGGTTCTTGCCGCTGGGCCACCAGAGCTCCCTAAGATTTAGTTTTAATGTCAGTCCATTCCCATATCTTGAGGTACCAGATGTTTATCTGCTGTACACCTCCCAGTCCCCCAGTGTTTTACAAGAATTAGAGTACTTATTTCTGTCTACCCAGGCTCTGCTACTTTGTAGCTTCTGGCAAATTCCCCAACCTTGAGAGTAGGTTCCTTTGAGCAGGTTCCAACTCATAGTGACCTGATGTATAACAAAGCAAATGTTTCTTGGTCATGCGCCTTCCTCACTGTGTTGTTGTTGTTGTGCACCATTGAGTAAGAACCAACCCATAGTTGACTCCAGCAGATTTCCAGAAGCAGTTAATCAAACAAGAGGAGATTGCCCATCCTTCTCCCTCAGAGCAGCTGATGGATTTGAACCACATGCCTTCAGGATTATAGCGCAGCTTCATAGCACTAGGCCACCAGAGCTCCATTTTTTCACTGTAGTAGATTTATTTTGCTGAGCCTCTGTTTCCTTGTGTGTAAATAGGGAACCAGGTGCTAGCTATAGCTGTGGATTTCCTGGCTATAGAATGCTGTGGTCTCAAATGTTTTCCACAGAACATTTTCTTGTATCGTGTGTGTGTGTGTGTGTGTGTGTGTGTGTGTGTGTGTGTGTGTGTGTGTACACACATATACACACATACGCCTACAGCCTATGTAACAAGAATAGGTAGCTCTTGATGACTTCATAGATAGCTCAGAAATTTTAAAGACTCACAAGCAAAAAATTACTGAGTGAAAATTGTTTTTTCTCCTAAATTCTTGTGAGGGAGCTCTGGTGGCCTAGAAGTTAAGGAGTTACACTGCTAACCCAAAGGGGGCTCTTCTCTGGTGGTTCAAATCCTCCGTGGGCTCCACGGGAGAAAGCTGGGCATTCTCTTCCTGTGCTGTTTGTAGCCTTGGAAACCTCCTGGAGGTTCAACTAGGAGTCAGCTCCAACTCGACTGCAATGACAAAAATTCTTGTATCCAGTTCTGCAGTCATTGTGAATGCTCTTGGTGGTACTATTATTCTATTTAGACTCCTTTAAATTCAGCTCAAAACCGTAACCTTAAAATACATTGAAACACAAAGTAATTTTTAAAGCATCTCAATGGAATTACTCATTAGCTTTTAAGAAATTATAGGAGTTACATAATCTACCTAAACACTGTTTTCTCATCCATAGATGTTATTATAATAAGGTCTTTCTCTCATAATTTTATAATCACAGTTTTATAAACCATCCATAAATACTGCTCAATATCATAAATGCCTTCAGGTTAACATTTGTCTTCTGGAGAGAGCTCCATATTGACGGGTCTAAAAAGATGACATAATCTAGTATAATATAACAATTTTATTTTAAAAAAAATATATGAAGCAAATACACACACACAAAGATGACATAGGCAATTGACAGTCTTTTAGAGATGAGTTTAATTGGAGAGTAACAGTTGAAGAGTTGTTGTTACTAAGTGCTGTTGAGTTGTTTAAGACTCATAGCAACCCTATGTACAACAGCCCTAAACCTTGCTCTATCTCTTGCCAACCTTATTGTCTCTGACAACACCTATCCCTATAACCCCAGTGACTGAATCAATCCATCTCATTGAGGGTCTTCCTCTCCTGTGCTGTCCCTCCACCCTCCCAAGCATGACATCCCTCTCCAAGGACTGAGCCCACCTTGCAACATGTCCAAAGTATGTCAGACGAAGCTTCAGAATCCTTGCCCCCAAGGAGCAGCCTGGCTTCACCCTCTC